AGTATATACCACTTCAAAGAGTTTACAGCCCTCTCTAAGTGGTTTACAGAATATATTTCCTCCACAATCTAGGTCCTCATTTTACCAACCTCGGAAGGATGGAAGCCTGAGTCAATCTTGAGCCGGTTAGGATTGAACTGCTGGCAGTTGACAGAATTAACCTGCAATACTTGAGGAGCACCTGGAGGCTCCAACTGGTGCAGAGTGCGGCCGCATGGGTGGTTATGGGAGCGACATGGCGTTCCCATGTAACACCTCTCCTGCGTGAGCTGCACTGGCTCCCGGTGGTCTTACATGTGCGCTTCAAGGTTTTGGTTACCACCTTTAGAGCGCTCCATGGCTTAGGACCTGGTTATCTACGGGACTGCCTGCTGCCACCAGTAGCCTCCCACCGGCCGGTACACTCTCATAGAGAGGGGCTCCTCCAGGTGCCATCGGACAAACAATGTCGACTGGCGGCCCCGAGGGGGAGAGCCTTCTCTGTGGGGGCACCTACTATCTGGAATGAGCTCCCCCCGGAGATACGGAGGATCCCGGATCTACGCACCTTCCGCCGTGCTCTCAAGACCTTTTTATTCCATCAGGCTGGCCTGGCCTAATTTTTCCCTTTTTTCCCTTTTTAAAACGCAAATTTTAATTCGTTCTTAATTTATTGGGGTGTTTTAAATCTGTCTTCAGCCAAATTGTTTAATTCGGTTTTATTCAGTTTTAAATTTTGTATTTATGTGTTTTTATCCTGTGGCTGTTCACCGCCCTGAGTCCTTCAGGAGTAGGGTGGTATATAAATCAAATAAACAAATAAACAATACTGCATTCTTACCACTGGGCCACCACAGCTCTTACTTAACTTTCAGTCACTTTCACTCAGATGACTCTCAGATGAAATTTTTGACTTTTTTTAAAAAAACTAGTAGATTATAGCAGATTCAGCTGTCCTGGCAGTGGTTACTGTGGAGGTGGGGTCAAAAGTGATTCAATGGTGGATGAAAGATCAGGATGCAAGTCCTACAAGATGGTATTCAGCCGGTTTAGACTAATTTGGGTGAACAGGTAGCTCTGACGATCAGTTGGTCGCACCCACCCGCCCCTGCTCTATCCTGTCCTTTATTTCCTGCTTTGTAGCTCATCTCAATCATGTGGCACAGCTGATTCCCCCCCCTCTCGCTGTTCTAATTACCGTTGCTGATTTGGAAGGTAAGCAGCTGAGTTTCTAACTACTCTATTTTCAGAGCTGGGTGCAAGTGCCTTAGGCACATGCACAAAGTGCGTGTGCGCACTCAAAGTGCACACTCACTGAACCGGTTGTTAAACCGGCAGCATCCCACCACTGAAGTCCTATCCCATTTGAATGTACGTGCGTCATAAATGCATTGCAATGCAGCAATGAGCATTGCAATGCTCCTTCCACCATGTTGCTAAATTTGTCAATCCCTTCACATTTTCAAAATGGGCAAAGCCCTATTAAGTAATCAGATCAGTTTCCCTTCACTATATTGGGCCACATTTAGGACTGGTGATGTATGGAGTCACACCGAGTTCTACAGAGCACCATATTTCAGTCAGCTTTACCATCTGATATTTTAGCTTAGACTCTTCTTTTCTCCTCCTCCTCCTCCTCCTCCTCCTCCCCTTCCTTCTTTTCTTTTTTTTTTTTTTTATTGTCGGGCATTAAATTCCCAGGTGACTGATAAAACCCTGCCTCCCTCATATTCATCTGGTATTTTCTCTCTGTCATCAAGCAGAGAAAGAATAATCACTTCAGCTTTTCCTGGTTTCAAAAACAAAAAACAGCTGTGCTGAGAAGCTGTAGTCAGATAACATGAAAATGAGAAATTAATCACTTGCCTAAGTATACTGTAAACAGCAGGCTTGATAGAACATTTATCATCATTTTGCCTTCTGCTTACTTAAGGAGAGAGTGGGCTTAATTGCTTTCCCAGGACTCTTCCTTCCCCTCCTTCTCCTAATCTATAAAGAAACACAGTAAATGACTCTCAAAACTAGCCTTCAGTTTGTCAGTGAAGTGGCAAACTCAAATGATCCACTCTTCCCTCTCCCACCACTTCAAATCTCTTGACAATTACTGTGGCCACAGTCTAGACCAGTTGTAGCAAAGCTCCAAATTGATAGGTCATGAGTAGAGCCTTGGTCCTTTAGTAAAAATAAAAATAAAAGTTGTCTCTGGGGAAGGTAGCATCTTGATGGAGCAGGGACCAAAGCAGAATGCAGAAAATCAATTGCTGTTGAAAGAAAGTTTGGTTATTCTGACTACACAAAATTCATAAGAATTGACAATTCTTTAGCTCAAGATAAGGAGACCTGTGGCTCAGTGTGGCTCATTTATGGGCTACTGGGACTTGTAGTTCAACAATATCTGGAGACCTAAAGGTTTTTCACTTCTGGTTTGGATACAGAGCAACTATTCCACTGGTCTAAGGCAGGAGTGGGCTTCCGATCCTTTAGCAACGGGTTCTCTGCCCTCTTGCTGGGTGGGCGTTGCCATGGTGGGCATGGCCTACTTGGCCACCTGCACCGGGGGGGGGGAAGCATTTTTCAAGGCCCTCCAGAGGCTGGAAACAGGCCCATTTCCGGACTTCCGGAACCTCCGGTAGGCCCGTTTTTTGCCCTCCCAGACCCTCTGTGCCGCCCCTGCACTTACCTGGAATGATGAACAGGCTTCGTGGAGACTCCTGAGAGGGGCGGGGTGGGATGGGTGTAGCCAGCCAGGGGTGGCATTTGGGGGTTCGCTGAACCCCGGTGCTCCTTGGCTAGAGGATCGCCTGAACACTGCCAAATCCCCAGGAGCCCACCCCTGGTCTAAGGCTAGGATAGCATATACCATAAGACATAGTCCCTTGTTAAAGTTAAGCATGCTTGGGTCTGTTCATTAAAATTATCCCCTTTTGAATGAAAAAGGAGGGGCATAAATGAACTTAAATCAGTCATTCCCTCTCAATTCCATTCCTCATCTTTTGGCTTTAATTCATGTTAAAATAGACAGGAGTGCAAGAAGATCAAGGTAAGACTCAAAAATTTTTGTCACCATTGGGGATATGTCCGTTATATTTATACATTTTCCAAATCTATTTTGCACAAAGAAATTTTGCTGGCAACCAGATTTGTTCCAGATGTATTAGACTATTGACTTGCTAGGAGTTGTAATGCAACCTATCGATCAGGAGAACACCAGCTTGAAGAGAGTTAATGTAGACTGCCCATTGAAAAGCCATAATCACACCTTCCCATTTGTATCTATTCTAGTAGAATACTGAAACAGGAGTTTGAATCAGTGGTGGGTTCCTCCCGGTTCGGTCCGGTTCGGCCGAGCCGGTAGTGGTGACGATATGACATCACCGAACCGGTTCTCCCCCCCGGCCTCCCAACCCCCACCCCCCCACGTTATTCTTACCTTTTATTTGGTCCCACCCCCAATCTATTGCTGCCTCCTGAGTCCCAGCTGATGACTAGAGGGAAAAAACTCTTTAAACTCTTGCCGCGGGGCTTCAAAGGGCCGTCCTACAGCTGATCAGTGTTAAAAGCAAACAAATGAGTCGGGTCGTAAGTGCGAGGACTGGTTGTAAGTGCGAGGACCTTCCAGAAATGACTCTGACCAGCTAGCCATGCCCACCTAGTCACATGACCTCCAAGTCACACCCACAAAATAAGCCACGCCCACAGAACCGGTAGTAAAAAAATTTAGAACCCACCCCTGGTATGAATGCAGAAAAATCATTAATATACAAGTTAATGGAGAAAGAGAGAAATACTATATATTATAGCAATGAAGAAAGAAATACTTAAAAAAGTTTATTAGGTCTGGGGTTTTTTTTCTTCTTCACACTCCCTCCTTCCCAAATCTTATTTGACACCTTCATCTTTACAGAATGACAATTTTTAGAATGCATTAAAAAATCTTTGAGGGGAAACAATAGATATTTGTGCAAGTTATTAATAAGGAAACTACAGCAGGTTTTGTATTCTCGTTCGGTAGAGCTTTAGAATATCCTTTCTTTTTAGATCAAAATGCCTTCAGGATAACAATTCAAGTGATATCATGTCTCCCCATTGCTTTCCAGCTGTTCAAGAGGATGTATAGACAAAATAGACCAAAGCCTGTGAGGCTTACATGCAGCCTCACAGTTCACTCTCTTATTTATTCTCATGCTCTTAGGTGTCTTTTTTTCATCAAGATATTTTTCTGCAACCATTCAAAAACTCTGTGCACAATCATTAAGAAGCAAACATTCAGAAGCTCTGTAACTGCTCCATTGCAGAATCATGCCTCTATCATACCGTCTTGGATTGTGAGCAAAATAAAAAAAATATAATAAATTATGGTGATTCTTTACTAGTAGTCATTTCAGTTCAGAATCTAAATTTGGATTACACTATGGAGAACACAATTAAGCTCCGGAGTCCTTGGTGCTCTCTGAACTGGATTGTTGGTTTGCACACATTTAATTATCCAACTAGATAACACCATAAGTGCTTATGAGTGTGGAGTTTGCTCCCTGTTTATAAACAGTAGCTTGCCCTGCACAAATGCCCTGAAACAAACCAGACCACCAGAAAAAGGAAACAAATCACTTGTATAAGATCTCCAACAAAATGGATATTCTCACAACTTTAAACAAAAGGACCTAACCACTCAACCCACTGTAGCCCAATCAACATAAACTATGAAAAGGATGACACTACCATACATCAAAAGCATCCCAGAAACAATCAACTAGATTATTACAACCATATGGTATCACTGTAATATACAAGGCAACTAAAGCCTTCCAAATTATTTTAAGTAACCAAAAGACCCAGTAGCCCAAGAAGAAACAACAGGAGGCATCTACGGCATACAGTCTAAACACTGTAATAGCTACTATGTAAGACAAACAGGCAGGAGCAGAGTGCATTCATGTACACTTACTAGCAGTCTGAAAATATAATGAATCTGTCAAGCTTCGTTGTTGTCTCCAAATAAATGAATGTCCAAACACCCGATCTTTGAGGAAATTTTTCTCTTTATTGAGCATAATGAACTGACCCTGACTCAATGCGCAGTTAGCACTGAACTTTGCCCCCCCGCCCCAAAAAAACCTCTCTTTCCGGTTCCCAATTCTCTGCGTCTCATTGGCCATCTTCCAAGTCACTCTTCTCATCCCATCTCCGTCAGTTCACAGGAATGTCCCCCCCCCCATTCCATCTCTGTGGAGACAGTTCTTCAGGGGAATTAAGTAGGTAAAAGTTCAAGCCTCTCCTCTCCGTCCTTATGGCAGCTTGGAAGCTGACAGAATACTTCCTAGTTACACAACAAAGGGAAAGACTCAATCAAAGTTTCAATTATGGGCATCTTAGACCAAGCCAAATGAAAAAAAAAAAAATGCTAAGAAATTCCTGGAAACTTGACAATCAGATAAATTAGCCATCAACAGGGACATAGAAATACATATTTACATATCATTCCAAATGGACAACAAAAAGCTAAAAAGGAACCCCCTCCCCCAAAAAAGATCTGAACACAACTCTTCCAGCAGCCGACACCCAGATAAGCAGTATGAACACAGACAAGCAGAAAACAATGCCCTAATCAAGGAACTATCAAGAAGAAAACAACATGGCGCTCCCCATATGTACTATCACTGATTATGGTTCTGATTTGGGTAATGAAATCTCTAAGCAAACAACCAAGCTGAGAGAACACCAAGGACTCCACAGTTCAACCCTGAGCTATACATTTTCTCTTCTGTTGGAACAATTAAGCTCCCACAACCCCACTTCAGCCCAGGGGTACAGATGACTTGTTTACATTCTTTGTGAAGTCTCAAGGCCTGCTGAAAGTGGATTGACACATTTTTGACTTTCACTGCATTTTGTGGTGAGGTAAGAAGTTTAAGCACGCTCTTAAGCAAACTCCATGCCCACGGTGGAATGTGGCCCACAGAACATTTGCTGTGGTCATCCCACCAATTCAAGTTGTGCATTCCTCCTCCAAATCTGGGCCCTAATCTGCATTAGGAAGCATATAGTGAGGTGTTATGCGAGGAAAATTAAGGTCACATATACTTTGGTTTTGGTAAGTTCCAAATCCTATTTGAATCAGAGCATTATCTGAAGCACAGCAGAAGTTCCCAGATGTTGGAAGCCAATGATCCAATTTGAAAGACTAACAAAATGTCCACAACACTCAAAGCATGCGATAAAAATGGCCATTCACAAAACACCAATGTCAAAACCTTACCAATCCCAAATGTTAATTTAGTGAGCTTGTCTCCCATCACCCCTTCTAGCTTCTGAGAATGATTCTTTTATTTCTGTAATAGATCTGTGCAGGAATCTGGACACACTTCTAAAGAAAACCCTCCAGCCATCTTCTATGTGGATTTTTGTGGCACCAGGAACATTCTTAAAAACAGAATTTATTCTTCAAGTTGTTGTTTTGCTAGACAGCAAACTAGCTTCCTACTTTAAAAAAAAAAGTGTGTTTTTTTCTTAAGACATCCTGGGAATCCAAACAGAATTATCATCAGGCACATTGCCATGATTTCATGCCATTTTGGGAACCCAGGAAATAGAAAGTGACTTCACAGCTGCTTCCATTCCATCATCACTCACTCGCTCATTTATTTGTCACCCTCTCTAAAATAAGATGGATAGGTACTAAACTAAGCAAGAGACAAATTTGCCTTGTCCAATCGGGTGAGATAGATGGAGACGCCAAGGATCTGAATGCATGAAGCTTTTGCCTTTCCCTTGGAAAGGGGAGAAAATGTAAGATACATATATAATCTAAGGTTTGGGTCCTGATTAATTTTCTTAAAGAGTCTTAAGTTCTGTATGGGTGCATACAGATGTGCTTGTTTATGCCTCGAATAATCTTTCTAATGCTAACATAGGCAAGCCCTCAACAAGAAACACCAGCTAGGAGGTATGATTGCTCATTAAATTTAATGAGCAGGTTAGAATTAGCTACTATGGAAAGGAAGATGAAAGAAAAATCACACCTTTGAAAACTGAGCTAGAATTTGATTGAAACATATGCAAGGCCAATTAGTCATATAATGATCTTGAATATGCACATTGCTAAAGACGATGTGGGGAGCTGAGCCGATTTCCAGGTTTCTTACTCAAGTGGAACTCAATTGCAGTTGCGTGCAAAATGATAGAATGGGAGACGTAAATCAGGAAAGTAGAAACTGAAGGTATTCTGTCCTCAAATGAGTTCTGATGTTCATGCACACACATACACCAGCCCAATTTTCTGATATCTATTCTGAATCAGTGGGAGTCTTCATTGTCTGTGAGACAGTTCAGGAAAGAGCTTTTTAAAATGGTTCATTTACATAACAAAGTACATCCTCCGTGTTAGAAAAGGGCATTGTTTTGAAATTTCTAAGTCTTGGTTGAATGTATTTTAGAAATGTTTCAGGGGTTGCCTTTGGAGACTCTTCAGAGCCGAGATGGGCATTACCAACCACTCCATTTTGCTTAAAATGGCTTTAAAATGTGCATAATCCATACATCCAGACCCTCTTGAGTTGGGCTGTGGATTTTGAAGGTTATATATTTTGATATTACTTGGAATTGCGATTAAATCTTGTAAACTCTTCAGTGGTCTCCAACAAAAAAGAACACAATAAATTTGTGAATACTTCAATGAGTGTCAGTGAACACTCTTTGTTGTTGTTAGTTGTGAAGTCATGTCCGACCCATTGCAACCCCATGGACAACGTTCCTCCAGGCCTTCCTGTCCTCTACCATCCTCTGGAGTCCATTTAAGCTCACGCCAATTGCTTCAGTGACTCCATCCAGCCACCTCATTCTCTGTTGTCCCATTCTTCTTTTGCCCTCAATCTTTCCCAGCATTAAGCTCTTCTCCAGTGAGTCCTTCCTTCTCATTAAGTGGCCAAAGTATTGGGAAGAAATCCTATTAAATCAAAGGCTACTCTCTGAGTAGAGGCAAACAAGGTGGGATTATAATTTCACCATTAACTGCATCATGAAAAGCAAGATTGATACAGGATATATAAGAGTTCTTTCGTAACAAAATGGACAGAAAAGGTTAATCCAACAATCAACTCTCTCAGAGGTCTGAATATGTTAATACAATTTCAGAAGAGAAACTTATATAGAGGCAAATTAAGTTGGCAAGTACCTATGTTTCCAGAAGATGCTAATTTGCTTTAAATGTGCAAAAAATGTTAGAATTCCTTTTATAATTGGAAAAAGTTCTTGCCAGGGTTTAATATGTTTCTCTATCTAAGCTCAAGGTTGCACACTCAGTTTCGTTTTCGTTCCAAAACATTATTAAATTAATCAGATGTGCCCACTGATGTACTTTAAAATCACCCCACAATTGTTATACAAAATGGTAACTTTAAAAGAGAAATCCTAGATATTTAGTCCTTTCATTAAAAAGAAATTATTAGCAATCTATTTAAAACATTTCAGCATATTAACTTAGGCAGTGTTCTCAAAATGTATTGTAGTTTTCAAGTTATATTAATATTCCCCACCTTTATTCTTCTCTACAAACGCATATGTATTTTTTCCATCACTCCTCTGGATAGTTCAGTGTAAAATATTCATATCTACTAAATAATTTTTTTTAGAAATAATCTTAAAAAAAATATAGACAAACAAATCCAATTTTTTTTAACCTACTTCTATGATTTGCTTTTTACCATTTGGTATAATGTTAGCATTATTCCAATATGCCATGAGCTCAGAATACAGGTGGTCCTCAACTTACAACAGTTCATTTAGTGACAGTTCAAAGTTACAATGACACTGAAAAAGTGACTTTTTTAAAAAAATTGATTTATATGCCGCCCTTCTCCGGAGACTCAGGGCGGCTTACAATGCGTTAAGTCGCCCTGACAGTTTTTCACAGTTATGACCACTACAGCATCCCCATGGTCATGTGATCAAAATTTAGACGCTTGGCAACTGACTCATATTTATGATGGTTGCAGTGTCGCAGGGTCACCTGATCTCCTTTTGCGACCTTCTTATTAGCAAAATCAATGGGGAAACCAGATTCACTTAACAATTATGTTATTCACTTAACAACTGCAGGGATTCACTTAACAACTGTGGCAAAATAGGTCGTAAAAATGGGGCAAAATCACTTAATGAATGTTTCACTTATCAAGAGAATTATAATCACTATACTCAATTATAGTCATAAGTCAAGGACTACCTATATTTACCACTGTTGTAACAGTTCTACAATTCTGGGTAAAGATTTTAACCATTAAAATGCCTATCAATATAATCTGCACATAACAAATTATATTGCCATGAATTTCACTAGATCATTGAAGCAAACATACCAAAGTGTCAAATACCAAATTAAATATTAAAGGCATATAAAGGGCATTCTTGATACCTCATCTTCATTACAGAGGAGATAGTCCCAAGCGTAATGACTTAAGCAAGAGGAATTAAAGTAATATTTTTTTCTAGAATCAAATTATGATATATGAATTATTAAAGCATATACAGTATCTTCTGTAATCGTCTTACTAAGGTGGCTATACCAAAATCTTGGCATCAATATTTAACTAAGATATTGTTTAATAACTCACACAATTCGTAACAACCTTTTCATAAATAACTTTTTCATACAATTATGTTCATAAAATCCCCCTTTTCCAAAGAATTTCTCTGACAAAATTGGAGCCATGCTCTCCTTCATCTTTTTTTGCTACTTTATAGGTATTTTGTCCAGTCCAAGGCTGCTTTGGATTTCATTGCTTCAATAGTACCAATATCTCTTTAATATTGCTTTGAATATAGCTAAATCCCTTCAATGGGAATCCTCAATTTTTAGAAAATTCATTCCATATCTATATCTATATCTATATCTATATCTATATCTATATCTATATCTATATCTATATCTATATCTATATCTATATCTATATCTATATATCTATATATCTATATATCTATATATCTATATCTATATCTATATACACACACACATATATATAAAACACTCATCTGCTCAATATGTCTGTCAATGTGTTCAGAATGTAAATCAGTATAAAACACTGTTAATGAAAACTCATGTCATTGTAATCACTGTGAATTATCCCCAAGGAATATTTTATTGTAAGCATTATTTTGGGGTTGTTTTTTTTTTAGATATTGCAAATGAGAAGCCAAATATTTACCAAGTTTTTCCTCTCATTTCCAAATCTATCCATTTAATACCTTTAATGAATATTCAGCACTCATAATGTGCAATTGGTCAGACTCGAATGCTATCGATCTAAAGGGGTTATACTCTTCCAGAGTACAACTTTAAGCACATGTCTCCAATACTTCCTTTAATTCTGTAATTAATTCTGCATCATTCTTTAACGATGCAACTCCCTCCTATTTATTTCCCTGTAGGGCAAGACTGTCAAACTCCTGGCCGGCGGGCTGGATGTGTCATGCGCTGGCCACGCCCACACCCGGTTTCATGAAGGGGAAAGAAGTCCCAATACGTCACATGCCGCTGTGACGATGTGAGTTTGACACCCCTGCTCTAGAGATTAAAGTAATTGTTTTACCAACTACAAATGTTCTAAATGTATCCAGGCAATCTGTAAAGGAGGCACAGCGAATGGCCTTGGGGGATAGGAAGAACCACTAAAGAACAGACAGGTAAAAGTAACCCGATTATGGGGCAGAAATATGTTTTTTATATTTTATTTTATTTTATTTTATATTATATTTATTTTTTATAAAATTTATTGGCTGCCCATCTTACCATAAAATAACTTTAGGCAGCTATTCAGTTACATAAAACATAAAAAGTTAAAAATAACATTAAAACCAAGGATACATGGGGAAGGAGTGGGACGGAGTGGTGGGGGAGCTGAGATCTGTTATTACTCAATCAACCACTTCCATTGTGCTGTTCTCCCACTGGAGCCCCAAGCTGACTGGGACAGACATGTCTTTAGACCTTTACAAAAATATAGGAGGGTTGGGGGCCCCCTCACTTGGGGAGGGATGTTCCAGAGGGCAGGAGCAACAGCAGAGAAGGCCTTCCTCCTGGACATTGCCAGCTGGATTACTCAGATTGATGGGACCCGCAGCTTGCCACCTCTGCCAGCACAAGTGGTATGGGCCAATCTCAGTGAGGTGAGACAGTCACTCAAGTAATCTGGACCCATGTCATGAAGGACTTTAAATATCTCAGACAAAATCATCCCTACTTCACACAAAGATAAAGAGAGGGAGGAGGAAGTGTATTCAGACTTGTAAAATTCTGCTACTATAACTTTGCAATAAAAGTAACACTAAAAGTATTTCCATGATAGTGGTTTCCTAGTCTAGCTATAGTCCAGAATTTGGAGAAAATTTGAAACTGAAAGAAAACATTTTGAATTAAATTAATTGACAGCGGAGATATTAAAAAATAATCTTCACCATGATGTAAGTGGTTGTTAAAAGTAATTTGTATTAGTACAAGTATTAATTTGCATTCCTCAATATCTCCTTGAAGCATTCCAATAATGGAGAATATTTTTTCTCTTAAAACTACACCAGATCTAACAATGGATCCCAAATTAAATTAAAATCTCCAGCTACAGTTAACTGGTCCAATAGTCCAAAAGATTTGCAAAATAGGTGGAATATCATGTTTATTTTTACCATGTTTCCCCCAAAATAAGACCCCATCATATATTTTTTGAACCTTGAAATAAGTGCTTGGCCTTATTTTCAGGGATGTCTTATTATTTTGTGGCGCATGGAACAAGGCGGGGCTCCTCTTGTCGTCTTACCTGATTTCCAGCTCTGTCTCCCTAACCCTAACGAGAGGAAATGGAGGGGACCGGTTGCACATGCATTTAAATATTTTCGGGGAGGCTTATTTCGGGGAGGGGGTATTTTAGCGCATGTGCTCAAAAACTCGATTGGGCTTATTATTAGGGGATGTCTTATTTTAGAGGAAACAGGGTAGTTGAAACAAACAAACAAACAAACTTTATCCAAACTATCTGACTAACCTCATTCTTAATTGCCAAAACTGGACCCAAAATTTCTTTTTTAGCTACAACATTAGAAAATATCTGAACTGAAACTGTTCTTGAAAATTTCAAAAGTCCATTCATCTGGTTCAGATCATCCCAGGTTTCTGAGGGAAGAAGCAGGATTGTCAGGGAGATTTGAGTTTCTGGCAAAAACATGTCAGTATATAAGAAATTATAAGCTGGAATAGCCATAACAAGAAGTCAGCCAATGGGAACTGTTTGGTGACTAAGAAACAGGATCCGTTGTGAGCCAGGGGAGACAGCTCAGAGCCTAGGCGTGGCTTAGCTTGACTGAACTGTATATATATATATAAGGATTATTATTGCTTCTATGATTATATTGATTCTGTGCAGTGGTGGGATTAAAAATTTTTTACTATCGGTTCTCTGGGCATGGCTTTGTGGGCCAGCGTGGCTTGGTGGGCATGGCAGGGGACGGATACTGTAAAATTTCCATTCCCTCCCCACTCCAGGGGAAGGTTACTGCAAAATCCCCATTTCCTCCCAATCAGCTGGGACTCAGGAGGCAGAGAATAGATGGGGGTGGGGCCAGTCAGAGGTGGTATTTACTGGTTCTCTGAACTACTCAAAATTTCCGCTACCAGTTCTCCAGAACTGCTGAATACCACCTCTGATTCTATGCTTCTGTGATTTCTGGTTCTGGCTTCTACTGCATGGGCATTGTATACATGGATCATGCTTTATATTGTCGTATATAAATAAGTTTTTTTTATAAATGAATCCTGCTGAATTGTTTACTTATGTGCTGGTTGGATTGCTGCAAACTCTAACAAAACAGAACTTCAGATTTCAATATCTTCAATTAAAAAAAAATCTTCCTCTTATATATATTTCTCAACTGTTTAATGTTCCATAAGACCTCCGTTTTTCATAGCTGCAGAGAGGCTTCTTTCACTGCTCCTGAGAAAGGAATCATCCCTTGCAATTGGATGGCTAATTAATTTAAATAAATAAACAAACACAAACAATAAATATAGATAAATAAATAGAAAGTGATTTATGCCCAGATTGTTTCAGCTAACCTTAAATAATTTGGCCATATTATTACTTTAACCATACTTCCCATAGAATGAAGGCAGCTCCTTTTCTATCTAGATTGAATGACATTATATAGACAGGAAATGACAATGGCTCCCTTCCAAGTTCCAACACATTAGACAGAGCTATTTTGACACCTGATATATCACAATTCTAGCAAGGGTAAATAACAAGTTTTGAATTACTAAATAATTTCTCATTTGACTACTGTTACGTACTCAGAGATTTCTGTTCTGAATGCACATGAAAAGCTGCTTCACTATGATCTAAATCTGAGGCCCCCAACTCCTGGGCCACAGTACCACTATTGGGCCTTCAGCTGTTTGGAACTGTGTCACAGAATTGGTGGGCAAACACACACAAGCATCCCCATTTGCGCGAGCAGTGGGCAAGCGCATGCATGCAGGTTCCATTTGTACAAGTGGTCATTCACATAAATGGAGCTGCATGTACGCCACTTACCTGGAGCCATCCCCTCTCCCCCCCACCTCCCCCCGGCCAGTCTGCAAAGCCGCACAGGAGAACTCTGATCTAAGTGAAACAGCTCTTGAAAACATGGTTCCACAATAAGGTGTAGTGATTTTTTAAAAAATCTTCCATGTATGGAAAATCAAATTATTCCCTCCCCCACCCCGAATCCTTAACCTTAAATTCAGCTCTGTTCTTCTTGGCAAACCATTACCAATCTTTTTCTTGCCTAGTTTAGTCCTTCTAGTCTTTTGACCTATTCCTCATAAGATTCGGTTGGTTTAGTGGTGGGTTCCTCCTGGTTCCGCCCGGTTCCGCCGAGCCTGTAGCAGTGATGATATGATGTCACAGAACAGGTTCTGCCCGCCGGTCTCCCACCCCATCCCACCCCATCTTACCTTTTATTTGGCCCCACCCCCAATCTATTGCTGCCTCCTGAGTCCCAGCTGATGGCTAGAGGGAAAAAACTGTTTAAACTCTTGCCATGGGGCTTCAAAGGGCCACCCTACAGCTGATCAGTGGTAAAAGAAAACAAATGAGTAGACCGGTGCCTGCAAAAATAAATGGGTAGACCAGTGCCTGCAAAAATAAATGGGTAGATCGGTACAGTTCTGTAAGCGGTTAAAAGCCTGCTAGACCAGTACCTCTGCTAAATCCTAAATAATTGTCACATGACCATTAAGCCACACCCACAAAATAAGCCACACCCACAGAATCGGTAGTAAAAAAAATTAGAACCCATCCCTGGGTTGGTTGCTGTTTTATCAGTTTCAAAAAAAAAATCATTGTATTTTTTCCAGTAAATTTTCTTTCCCTCTTCCTGTTTCATTTTCTGAGAGATATTCTGTTAATAGTTTATAGATTAACCAACGACTTAACATTCTTGATGTTTTTTACCATTAAATCAGAAGGGAGCTCTGGAATTAAATTTGCTGTCTGAACATCTCACATCTGAACTAGAGTTTCAGTCAAAGTTCTTACCTCTAAGGGGAAGTCATAAATTTTTCACGTGAAGCTATGCTTCCCAGTGCCACAACAGCTTCTTCGGATGTCATAGCTGGGACAGCTGTAAGGAAATGAGGGTAAGGAGAAGGCTGATTTTTTGTGCTCAGGAGGCAAGTTACCACAAATTCCAGAAACAGCAGAGAACAATATTTAGCATTTTTGCTTACTATTTTTTTTTTTTTGCAACAGTCCCCAATTTAGTTTTCATAGCTCATGGAAGAGAGAGAGAGAGAGAGAGAGAGAGAAAAGAAACAAATTGCTGTTTAACTTGCTGTCTTTCTAGGTATTTCCTCCAGAGCTTGAAGAGATGATAAATAATACAGCTTTCAAAGACTTTGAACTACCTTTTCAAAGTTATAAAAGCAGCTTTTTAAAATTATAAAATGTTTGAAACAATTACATAATTGTCTGTCATCTGCACCTCCATAACTGTCAGGTTTGGCTCTACAACCAAACAAGACAGACACAGACTTCAACGGATAATTAGAACTGCAGAAAAAACAATTGCTACCAACCTGCCTTCCATTGAAGACCTGTATACTGCACGAGTCAAAAAGAGAGATGTGAAAATATCTACAGACCCCTCACATCCTGGACATAAATTGTTTCAACTTCTACCCTCAAAACAATATTATAGGGTGCTGCACAGCAGAACAACTAGACACAAGGACAGTTTTTCCCCAAACTAATTCCCTCAACACTGTCAAATAATTTACTAAGACTGTATTACTATTCTTCTTTTCTTCCTTACTAGTATCTATCTCTTCCCACTTATTACTATAACTATGTTGCTTGTATCTTTCAATTTATATTGTTTTTACTTGTTTCCTAGTATGATTTGAAGTTTATTAGTAACCTTGACTATGACTATGTGTTGTATCTTTTTATTCATGATGAATGTATTTTATTCTCCTTATGTACACCGAGAGCATATACACCAAAGACAAATTCCTTGTGTGTCCAACTCTTTTATTCCATTCTATAATAGTAAACCCACTTGGTGCAGAAATGAGTTGACAAACCCAAATTATTTTCCTCCCCTTGTCTATGGAGATGGGTCATGGTTGTCCCAAAGGTGCTTTTTCCAAAAGGCCACTGGACTTTCCTGATTTTTTGTTTGTTTGTTTGTTTGAAAATGTTTTACTTCTCATCCAAGAAATTTCTTCTTTGGGTTCTCCTCTCTTTATTTAGACCAGAGATTATGTGACTCTTGCTAACAGAAGCCAAATACCAACAAATTTTGGAGCAGGATTTCCACTCTTCTCCAAAAACTTGAAAAATCCTTCCACAGTTTTACACTGATGCAACTTTTAGTCTTGGTGTTGATTGATTATACTGCTGTCCATTTATTTTTCTGACCTAGCTTTTCAGAATTTAGCCATTTAGAATGAGATTTCTCTCATGCTCTCTTAAATATTGCACAATTTCAAGCAATTACTTTACAGTGAAATCACTTCTACTTAAGTTCTGGTTAACGTATATACTTCCAATACCAATTTCCTTAAAGACTTGAAACAAATTTAACATTACGTGATAGAAGTTTCATTTGGTAAACTTAATTCCCATATTAATTGATGTTACAGCTCATCACCCATAGTAATGTTTCGAGAATCTTTCCCCTATTATCTTTATACTGGCACTTTGAATTTATTTTTGACATTCAAATTACTAAACGGAATAGGAAATAAAGAGCAGAAGCTACATTAGCTGATGAAGGCAGGAATGAAAGTGACATTACTTGTTTTCACACTTGGCCCTGACACTTTTTTTTTTTTTTTGTAATTTTAGTCACTGTGGCTTGTTTTCCATGAAATCCATTTTTTTTTTAATTTGGTTAAATTGCTAATGAAGTTTTAGGAGGAATTGATGAATCTCTCCCTTCCATTTTTCGCCCCAGAAATCCTTTTAATACATTATATTTAGTGATTGTTTTTATGGCTTTAGCCCTTAAGCAATGTCTGAAACTTTGTTAAGTGTTAAGAAAGAAAGGCAGAAGATTAAAACAGGGCCTCAAAGCCCACCAAAGATCCTTGGAGAAACTCATGAACCTCCAAGCTGGACTGGGTGCTGAATTTGCAAATGCAGGAATCCCCCCCCCCAGTGATGGGTTGCTCCTGGTTCAGCCCAGTTCAGGCAAACCGGTGGCAAACCGGTGGCGGCAGCAGCGGGAGGCTCCGCCCATCCACCCAGACGTCATCAAAAACTCTCTGTGGTAGCTTGCGCACTACTGATAGCGAACCAGTAGGCGCCGGGATTTGAAACCCGCTATCCCCCCCACCCAAAAAAAAACATATGTAAGCTTTCAAAGAATGTGTTGAGGTTAGACCTGCTATATAAGGATAAAGCCAAATTAAAAGAAGCATGGTTTTTATTTCTATCCTGGAGACAATACTGGAAAAGAAATTCCAGAGAAGATGTGAAATGGTATTTTTTTTTCATCAAATTAGGGTTACTGACTGTATTAGTATAAAAGCATAAAAACAAACCCTAAGGTATACCTTATCAGCCACGTGTTGAACTCAGGTTTTTTGCTGAAATGAAAGTTACGTATATACACATCTGCCTAAATTCTTCCACGTCTTGAGTGTGGAATTTTCTAGCAGGCAATAACGAACTGCAATTTCCAGAAGCCCATCCTTTGTTCTTCAAAGTTGAGGGATCCTAGTAATTGTGCTTAACATCTGAAGAACTGGGGGTTCCTTACCCAGCTCTGTGTAATTGAAAAATCCTGATTTCATAGTCCCAAGTCACGCAGAAGTACATAGGATCCTGGATAGCTCAGCAGACTAATGGATTGTAATTTAACTCCAGCTGTCTGCAATTAGTAAGTTCGAATCTTGCCAGGCTCAAGGTTGACTCAGCCTTCCATCCTTTCTAAGGTAGGTGAAATGAGGACCCAGTTTGTGGGGTCAATAAGCTGACTTTGTAAAAATATACAAAGTATGAAGGCTATTGCTTAATGCATTGTAAACCGCCCTGAGTCTCCAGAGAAGGGCGGCATATAAATCAATTTATATATTTCAGATTGCCTTCAATTTCATCTCAAGATTTAAATTATGGGAGAAATGGAACTCTTTCTTAAGGGATAGATTGGTTGCTCATGCTCATCTACAAGCTTCGTGAAAATTCTTGGATAGAGGTGCAAAATAATATGCATGGCCATTGCCCAAAAGAAATCCCAGACAAAAGAGAAATGAGACAAGGATACGTTCTAGCTCTTCTCTTTTCATCTATTCATCAACCCCCTCATTGATAAATTGATCCATCCATCCATCCAAATTGGAAAACAGCCTTACCTCTCTTCTTCTGACTGCAGGTAATGTAGATTGGTCTGAAGTAAGCATTTTAGAGATTTGCTGAGCACGATTGAAAAGAAATGCTAGAAACCAAGGATTCAAAAACCAAGATTACGGCATTTGCCAAATACCCTAAGACAGGGGTGGACAATTGTGGCTCTTTTACAACCTGTGGACTTCAACTCCCAGGAATTCTGGGAGTTGAAGTCCACAGGTTGTAAAAGAGCCACAATTGCCCACCCATGCCCTAAGATATATGTCTGGAGGTTAAATAGCCATTTAATAATACAACCCAAGACATTGAACTACCTAGGGATTGTTTTCCATTCCACCGGCATTGGTAAATTTGATGCTGACCATATCATATTAAATAGTTTCAGCTGTACAATCTTTTCTTCTTCTCCAAGAGAATCCAGCATATACCTTCTCAAAGTCTTCTTGGTCAAGAGAAGCTCAGCTTCTCTCTAGATTCCAATAGGACCTTAATAGATCATTCCCCCACCCCCCTTGCAAAAGAGTCTAATTTAAGTTCCTGAAATATATCTTCCAAATAGCTTCCTGTGTTCTAAACATGGTGCTTCATTGTGAAACCAGCCTACTCAAAATAGAAATATCTCGCTGGATTTACATCCTTTCACAGTGGCTTAAACTTTTTTTTTTTTAAACTCAGCTGGCTGGGTTCCTTTTAATTATGACTGACAGCTTCTAGTCTCCCTGGCGTCAAGTGCTACATGAAAAATCCTATGGCTTTTCTTGAGCAGCCATCACCCTGATCAATTATTTAGGGACTTATATGTCGCCTTTGCCCCAAAATGTTTGCTTGAGCCGTTCTGCACAGCTACATACTTCAGTTTCATAACAATCCCTAAACTTAGAAGGGCATTGCCTTTGGCTGGATGCAATGCCCTTCCAACAGCAGTCAGTGAGGAGAGATAAACATTAACTTTGAGCAAAGATTGTGCCCATATGGTTCAGGAGCAATTGAGATACTGGAACAACACATTATGTTGTGCAGCTCTCTCTATGCTGACACTTATCAGAAATTACTATTCCCACTCTTCACCATCAAATACTTTGGCCACCTAATGAGAAGGAAGGATTCACTGGAGAAGAGCCTAATGCTGGGAAAGATTGAGGGCAAAAGAAGAAGGGGACGACAGAGAACGAGGTGGCTGGCTGGAGCCACTGAAGCAGTAGGCGTGAGCTTAAATGGACTCCAGAGGATGATAGAGGACAGGAAAGCCTGAAGGATCATAGTCCATGCGGTTGTGATGAATCAGACATGACTTTGCAATCAACAACAATTCTTCAACAAACACCTTGGTTGCACTGATTCCTTCTACCTCAAACTGTTAGGATCAAATCAGTCTGAGTCCATTTTGAGGACTGCAGCCAAAAATCATTCCTCAATTTGTTCAATACACCATAATTCTCTTCAAACACCTCTTAGACATTCTTCATTTGGAACCATTTCAAATTCTTCTGTCCATTTAGTCACTATTCCATATCATTGTATTATGTACTTACTGTCAATTGATTCCTTCTTCTGTATTCTCATTCATATTGTCAGAATCATTTTAACAATATAGTCATTATAATTTAATTCTAACTTTTCATTTCCAAAATATAATCACTCTTTTTTTATACGTCACATTTTGTTATATTAATTACAGTTTTCCATGGATTTAACTATTATAGCATTTCTATATTTTAGGTCGGTAAGTTTACTATTCTATTATAATCATTTAAATACTTTATTCAAATGACATGATACCTTACTACATTAATTTTTAAACCTCAAATTCTAAGGCCGTGATGGCGAACCTATGGCATGTGTGCCCGAAGTGGCATGTGGAGCCATGTCGCCTGGCATGAGCGGCATCACCCATTCACCTTCCGGGTTTCAGGTGCGCACGCATGCACGATGATCAGCTGGCCTTTTTTGCATGCGGCAGTGCCAGAAACTAGAAGAGCTGATCTTCTGTTTTCCTGCATAAGCATGCGTGCCGGCCAGCTGATCGTCATGTATGCATGCACACCAGAAACCCGGAAGAGTAGCCGGCTGAAACCTGAAGTTCAGTAGCTGAAACCGGAAGTTCATTTTCGGGGGCATGCATGCGCCCTGGGCAACTTCTCTTCTGGGTTGTGGCCCAGACGCGCACGCTCCCTTTTCGGCACTCGGTGCCGAAAAGATTCACCATCATTGTTCAACGGGGTAACTTACACTTTTAGTTTTATTGCTATATGATGTTCCAGCTTGTTTTATCACAGTCAAATTTTGTGCTGTATAGGCTGCACTGACATTTGGACAGTTAAATGGGACTCTATTTTTCCAAGATCTGTTTTTCTGGTCAATAACTGAAATAAAATGACAGAATGACTGACAATCTGCTAATGAGCAAAAAAAAATCTACAAAAAACCCTAACCCGTTAAAAAAGACTTATACTACCAAGATAATTGGTAGTACTTTTCAAAACTTTTTTTTTTTTGCAAAACCCTACATTAAAAACTTGTTCCAATGAATTTTTTTGCAGTTGGTGAGGGTGAACTCAGATGCCTTTGGATTCACACCTACAGACAATAGACAGGCTTGTTCCATTATACTCACGAAAAATCAAGAGTTTTAACAAATATTCTCTCTTTGAATAGTTGTTTGGTGATAAGTGGTTTAAGTCATCCAAATGATTGAATCAAAATCACAATTGCTCTTAAATAAATAAATATAGGCTGTTCACACTGTCCACATCAGGGGCACTTAACACATCTGAAATATTGGCAGCCTGGATGAGTGAAGTAAATCAACAGTAATTTTCTGGGAAGCAAACTATTTAGGCTGCATATACTACCCCATCTAGTTCATAAGAATATGTTATCTTTATTTCCTGGTAAGGCCCACTTTAAGAAAATTACAGACTGGAGAGCCCCAATATTTTATTTTTTATGAACAGGTGAATTTTAAAATAGGCATGATTTAGATTTGGTTTGCTTTTAAAAATTGTTAGCAGTTTTGAATTAAACCATTCTTAAAAAAAAAAAAAAATTAAAGATGGAACAGGGGGACTTGGTGGGCACCAAAAGAGAAATAGCCAGAAGCTCTGTGGTATCCACAGATGCCAAGATTTATATTTTTGCTGGTTGCTATAACAGCACCATGGAATGAGACCACCATAAACAACTTCTGAGGAATTATTGTTTGGTTTTAAAGGAAACTTTTTTCCCAAAAAATATGCTGCAAATAAGGCAGCAGTCTTGTGCACATTAGGAGGATAACCTACAAAACTTAGTTGTTTGCTTTTGACTGGATTTAGCCAAGAAAGTGCTGAATGTTATACTTCTGAACCAGGGGTGAAATTCTCTGAAGTCTACTACTGGTTCTTTTCTTTTTTTTAAAGTTTTTTTTTAATTTTTTTACACAAACACGCATACAAACATACAATGTATTTTTTCTGAACAGAATATTTGGACGATTCTCAAATTTAAACAGTTTTTAGTCATTTCAACTAAATTTGCAATTTCTATACTTCCTTTTTGCCATGATATTTATTCTCATCTATTTTTTTTAAACCACTATTACCCTTCATTCTTACCTCTAATCTTAACCAAATTCAATTTTTCCCTTCTATTCTATGTTGTACCCCTCAAATTTAAGATTTCACCAAATATGATTCCTACTATTTCCTTATATTCCTTTCTTATGATTACTGATATTTCCCATTGTCATCATTGTCATCTATTTTTATATCCATCATCAAATTAGTTAGTTATGTGGTGTTACAATCATTTATTTCTTATAAGAATAATATTTATAACATAGATTTCCTATGTTATATGGTAATATAATCCAACATTTTGGTATAAATCAGTTAGTTATATAACTATGTTTTTTCTTTGTATATTAATCATAAACCAAATAACTTTCCCCATATATTTCTTTATATAAATTCCAAAAATATGAACATGAATATTCCCATTATTTCCATTTTCATGCAATCCGACTTCTTAAGAAATCAATTAATTATGTAACCATCTTTCCTCTTTACATGATAATAATGAACCGAACAGTTTTCCCCATATGGAGTCTACTACTGGTTCTGTGAGTCGGCTACCGAGCATGTGTTTTGTGCGTGCATGCACACTTTGTTCGCATGCGTGCCTGAGGCACATCCATGCAGCACTAAAAAAGGAACCTTTTGAAGCCTTCCAAATCTGCAAAGGTAAGTAGAACAGCGAGGGGGGGTGGAATCCACTGTGCCATGTGATTTAGATTAGCTAGCAAGCAGGAAATCCAACAATTCTAGCTAATATAAATCATGTGTCACAGCTGGTCATCGCCCAGATGATCATCAGAAATACTAGTTCACCTGAACCGGTAACATTTTTTTCTACAGGTTTGGGAGAACCGGTCTGAACCGGCAGCATTTCACCCCTCTTCTGAACACACGTAGAGTATTTTATTCTCATCATTGAGTAAGAACAAACAGCTCTCCAGCTGAGCCCAAAAGGAAAGTTAATTCTGAAGTCTCTCTCTAGCCGATAGCCAAAGTGAGCAAAAATGCCTAGTGATAAGTCTGGAAAAAGTCTTGCTCAAGAAATGTTCTGTAAACTTAATTTTGTGATGGAATAAATGTGGGAAGCTTCTCAAAATATAAATCAGTCTTGGAGTTATATTCGTCTTAATCACATTTAACTTATCCCAGATACTCACTGGGATTCTGGACCATCTGGCTATTCTTATTTCATTTGCATCAAAGCTGGGGATAATTTGAAATTTACTAGTTGAGAAGGGTTTCTGGGAATATAAGAATATAAGATAAACAAAAGGAATTAGATCATAACTTAAAGCTCCAATCTTTATATTTTTCTATTGCAGTAAGTCAATAGCATCAAATTTGATTTATCTCGACTTATAAAGTATCCAGACTGTTTCCCAACCTCATGTATAAATGACATGGCAGAAGAACAAGGGTACCTGGTGTATTTATGAAACATATAATCGAAAAACTGATGTTATGCTTTGCACTGTAACTTTGTTAACTTCCATTAGTGAAAGCGAGAATTTATAAAACCAGATTAGAAAGAAAAAGAGAAATAAGGTATCTTTGCCATGGACCTTGAGATAAAAGTAATTAGGTATATGACATATCATTAACAATCAGGCATGATTTTGAATAAATTGGATAAATAATAGAATAGAATAAATACATTGAATAAATAGTAGAGAAATATAAAGCTTTGGAGACATGAAAATAAGTTAGAACTAGCTTCAAAAACTTTCAAGAAGTTATAAAACCTTTTTGTAAAATTGTAACTACTAGGTTTTATCCATTTTGAGGTAAAGCAACTATACCCATTAAAAATCTGATCTTATCAATAGCTTAACACTCTTGAATAAATCTACTCTAGGTTCACTAGAGTTAGAAGAATCCTATATTTTGTATAGACCAAAATAGTTATAAGAATCTTAGAATCCACCAAGGAAGAAAGACCTAGAATTACAACATTTAGTGGACTTCTTGTTTGACTGATAAACAAGATGAAGCTAAAAGGCAGGGAATTTGGAAAAGCTTAAACATATATATCTAGTAAAATACACACAATAAATATATTGTTTTTACAATGATCTGCGGGAAAGTGTCAGGACCAGATTGTTTCCCCTAATTTCATACTTTTAATAGCAGCGACCATTTCTTGAAAAAAAGAAAACTACCTTGATTACGTGATAAATACAGATAGTCCTCGAGTTAGGACCACAATTGAGCCCAAAATTTATGTTGCTTAGTGAAACATTTGTTAAGTGAGTTTGCCCGTTTTTACAACTTTTCTTGCCACAGATGTTAAGTGAATCACTGCATTTGTTAAGTTAGCAACATAGTTGTTAAGTGAATCCGGCTTTCCCTATTGACTTTGCTTATCAGAAGGTTGCAAAAGCTGATCACATGACCCCGGGACACTGCAACCATCATAAATATGAATCACTTGCCAAGTATCTGAATTCTGATCATGTGACCATGGGGATGCTACGATGGTCATAAGTGTTAAAAACTGTCATAAGTCACTTTTTTCAGTGCTGCTGTAACTTTGAACGGTCACTAAATGAAGCTTTGTAAATAGAAGACTACCTGTATAGGTCCATCATATTGTTCCAGTGCCTGCTTTCCCCACTCCATATGCAGAAGTGGGTCAAATTCTTTCATATTAGTATTATTTTGTTGTCTGCCTCTAACCTTAAGAGGGCAATGCGGTAGCTCAGCGTTTAAGATACTGGGCTTATTGGTTGGAAAGCCGCCTGCCCAAGTTTGAGACCAAGGCACCACATGACAGAGTGAGCGCCTGTCCTCACTTCAGCTCCTGCCAACCTAGCAGTTCAAAAGCATGGAAATCCGAGTAGATAAATAGGTACCACTTTGTTGGGAAGGCAACAGTGCCTTGTGATGTCATGCTGGCCACATGAGAGCGGAAATGTTTTTTGGACAGTGCTGGCTCAATGTCCTTGAAATGGAGATGAGCATCAGCCCCCTTAATCAGCAGCAACTAGCAGAGTAAAATCCACAGGGACTTCTCTACCTTTACTCTAGCCTTAAGGGAGCAGGATAGCAAAATTACCTTGGTAAATTCAGGACAGGCTCCCAACCTGACCTTCTGACTTCCTTTCCCTTTCCCTTGCTTCTTCTAATGGTGGGACCAACCCAGGGGTGAAATTCAGCAGGTTCTGACAGGTTCTGGAGAACCAGTAGTGGAGATTTTGAGTAGTTTGGAGAACCGGCAAATACCACCTCTGGCTGGCCCCAGAGTGGGGTGGGAATGAAGATTTTGCAATATCCTTACCCCAGGAGTGGGGAAGGAATGGGGATTTTGTAGTATCCTTCCCCTGGTATGGGGTGGGAATGGAGATTTTGCAATATCCTTCCCCCAGGATGGGGAGGGAATGGGGACTTTGCAGTATTTTGCCCACCAAGCCACACCATGCCCACCAAGCCACGCCCACAGAACCGGTAGTAAAAAAAAAATTGGATTTCACCACTGGGCCAACCCTCTGTTTTGCACCTCTGGATGAGTAGGCTGCCTTAATATATTATCCAGGTAGTTCTCAGTTTACAAGGCCATTCAATTAATGACTCTTTGAAGTTACAATAGCACAGAAAAAAGTGGCTGATGACCAGTTTTCACACTTATGACTGTTGCAGCATCCCCATAGTCACCTGATCAAAAGTTGGACACATGTATTTATGACAATTGCACTCTTCCAGGGTTATGGGATCACCATTTGTAATCTGGCTTCCAACAAGCAAAGTCAATGGGGAAAGCCAGGTTCACTTAGCGACCGCATGATTCACTTAACAACTGCAGTGATTCACTTGACTATGGCAAAAAAAAAAAAACCTTCATAAAATGGGGCACAATTCACTTAACAACTACCTCACCTAGCAATGAAAATTTGGGGCTCAGTTGTAGTCATAAGTCAAGAGTAACCTCTATTTAGTTACACACTGACAGGAAAAAGGAAATATAAAGTACCGTATTTTTCGGAGTATAAGACGTACTCCCCCCCCACAAAAAAAAGTGAGTGGAAATGTCTGTGCATCTTATACTCCAAATATTGTGGCAGGGGGAGGGGGTTGGTGTGGTGCCAATCAGCTGTTCTAGAACGGGCCACAGCGAACGGACAGCAGCGAATGGGAGGCTACGGCAAACGGGCCACGGTGGCAGTGAACGGGCCGCGGCAAACCGGCCAGATGAATACCGGATGGATGCTGGGAGGCAGAGGCAGATTTTTTCCCCTTGTTTTCCTCCCCAAAAGCTAGGTGCCTCTTATAATCCAGAGCATTTTATATTCTGAAAAATACCATAACCCGTGAGACAGATGTGTGTTTGTATATTTTTGTATGTCTCTCTGGTTGATTGCGGTATACAACCCAAGGCATGATTGTTCCTTGGGCATCTTGCTCTATATCCTCACAAGTTTTGCACTTTGCTCTGTTCCTACAAGAAACATAACACAAGGGAACGATTGCCATTATCCTGCTTATTTTGACAGTTGTGTCTGGAATGCAAACATCGCCTTGACAGATGCTAATAGAGTCAATCAGCCACACATATCTTCTTCCCAACCTTAATGCTGTGGGCAATCAAAGAAACACTGAACATCTGGTTCTTCTCTCCTGATTGCCTCAGTTGCTGATTTAGTGCAAGCAAACAGGCAACAATTAGTTGGTACGGCTTGTGTCAAAAGACCCATCATGTTAATTCAAATTAAGTCAGGATAAATTGAATTCAATTGGCACCCATGCATTCTTGTATGCAGTGGTTTAAACAGAGCGCCTGCTGCATTTCAAGATCTTTTCAGTTCAGGGTAATGGGGAGCAAGTGCATTTCTCAAACCTTTAGCTCTGTAAATTGCTGATTTGGGTGACATCCATACAGAGTTTGCTTTAAAATGGAGGCAGGCATCCCTTCGGCCCTTGTTGCATTCGGAGGACATTCAAGGAAATGCATTCTTACAATTTCCCTAAGTACATATATTTTCCCCTCTAAAATTTAATTGAAGCACTTGTTTTGAGTGGGAAAATGTCACTAGGAGAATAACATTTAATGGCGTGTATTTTAGAATTCAACATGCCATGTTCACAAGTGGTTACTTTCAATATTTAACCAATTCTGAAGAATGATATAAAAATAAGCATTACCAAAAAAAAAAAAAAAAAAAAGCTTCTGGCTTCAGCAGAATGATAAGAAAATGTCATCTAATGGTGGCATTTCCCTTGTAAAGTGTCCAGTCTAACTAAGACTTTCAAGAATGTCATTTACAATAACATTGTAAGATTCCATCCTGCACCAAATTCCACACATCCATTCATTAAGCAGATAAACACAAGAGGTAGGTTTTTCATTGCAGATAAGTATGAATGGATGGTGAAGAACAGAGATGTAGGACTTGGAACATGAAGTTCTGTTCACCAGCTTGACTTTTGACACTCATATGGGCTCCTTGGGTGGGAAAGCACATTAATGGCTGCCATTAAGTTATTCAAAGTTTTGGGTATGTTGCTGTGTAATACCCAGCCATGTGTCTATATAATCTTAATCTTTGATTCTATACCAACTATATTTCTAAAAATATTGCACCCATTTCTTACTTGACCTTTAATGCTCTAGTCCAGTGATGGTGAACCTTTTCGGCACTGAGTGCCAAAAAGGGAGCACTTTGTGCATGCTCGTCAGGGCTGCGACCTGGAAGAGGAGCTGCCCAGGGAGCATGCGCACACCAGATAAGGTACTTCCAATTTTCCACCAAGTCTTCCGGTTACTGACGCGCATGCATATGTGTCGATCAGCTGGCCAGCATGCATACACACACCAGAAAATGGAAGACCAGCTCTTCCAGTTTCCAGCACTGCTGGAAAGGCCAGCTGATCGTCGCAAGCACACGCGTGCCAGAAACCCAGAAGAGGAACGGGCAATGCCACACATTCCAGGTGATATGGCTCCATGTGCCACTTCGGGCACGCGTGCCTTAGGTTCACCATCATGGCTCTAGTCTAACACAATTAGAACTGGGCTGTATCTCTTTGGAGGGCCCTGGAAGCCTACACTGCTTAACATCTTGGACAAAGCAATCCTTTGAGGGAACTTTCTTGGTTTGTCATATACCCTGAATGATAATTTTCTACCCACTGGTTGCAAAGACCGGTTGATCAAGACATGGTATGGTTTCTCAATACCAGTTTTCGTTACTTTAGGCCTTGATAAAAGTATAGAACAGGGGTCCTCAAACTTTTTAAACAGGGGGCC